CATCATCAGCAGCGACCCTCTATACCTGAGTGAGATTCTAGGATGGGTTCACAGCAGCAGCAGCAGCAGCGATCCTCTAGACCTGAGTGAGATTCTAGGATGGGTTCACAGCAGCAGCAGCAGCAGCAGCGATCCTCTAGACCTGAGTGAGATTCTAGGATGGGTTCACAGCAGCAGCAGCAGCAGCAGCGATCCTCCAGACCTGAGTGAGATTCTAGGATGGGGTGACATCATCAGCAGCGATCCTCTAGACCTGAGTGAGATTCTAGGATGGGGTGACATCATCAGCAGCGACCCTCTAGACCTGAGTGAGATTCTAGGATGGGTTCACAGCAGCAGCAGCAGCAGCAGCGATCCTCCAGACCTGAGTGAGATTCTAGGATGGGGTGACTGCCTGACTGGCTTCTGCTTTTGTCGACCGCCGCCCACCGCGCTCCACAACCTCTCCCTCTCTCTCTCTCGTTGAGATGATTATGAGAGGGCCTCTTATGCCTACGGACGTTCGACTTACGGACGTTCAGAGATACGAACAAACCTGTCCGTACGTCCCGTTGGCTGTTCGGATCGAGAGTCGTAAGTTCAATCGCCGCGCAATAGATGGCGGTGGTGGCATCTACATCTGCAGAACGTGAAGAACCAGTGGCATCCACATCTGCAGAACGTGAAGAACCAATGGTATTTACATCTGCAGAACGTGAAGAACCAGTGGAATCTACATCTGCAGAACGTGAAGAACAAATGGCATCTACATCTACAGAACGTGAAGAACCAGTGGCATCTACATCTCTGGAACGTGAAGAACCAGTGGCATCTACATCTGCGGAACGTGAAGAACCAGTGGCATCTACATCTGCAGAACGTAAAGAACCAGTGGCATCTACATCTGCAGAACGTGAAGAACCAGTGGCATCTATATCTGCAGAATGTGAAGAACCAGTGGCATCTACATCTGCAGAACGTAAAGAACCAGTGGCATCTCCATCTGCGGAACGTGAAGAACCAGTGGCATCTACATCTGCGGAACGTGAAGAACCAGTGGCATCTTCATCTGCTGAACGTGAAGAACCAGTGGCATCTACAGAACGTAAAGAACCAGTTGAATCTACATCTGCAAAACGTAAAGAACAAGTGGCATCTACATCTGCAGAACGTGAATAACCAGTGGCATCTACATCTGCAGAACGTGAAGAAGCAGTGGCATCTACATCTGCAGAACGTGAAGAACCAGTGGCATCTACATCATCAGAACGTGAAGAACCAGTGGTATATACATCTGCAGAACGTGAAGAACCAGTGGCATCTCCATCTGCAGAACGTGAAGAACCAGTGGCATCTACATCTGCAGAACGTTAGGAGCCGGTGGCATCTAGATCTGCAGAATGTGAAGAACCGGTGGCATCTACATCTACAGAACATGAAGAACCAGTGGCATCTACATATGCAGAACGTGAAGAACCAGTGGTATCTACATCTGCAGAACGTGAAGAGCCGGTGGCATCTAGATCTGCAGAATGTGAAGAACCGCTGGCATCTACATCTACAGAACGTGATGAACCAGTGTCATCTACATCTGCAGAACGTGAAGAACCGGTGGCATCTACATCTGCAGAACGTGAAGAGCCGGTGGCATCTAGATCTGCAGAACGTGAAGAACCAGTGGCATCTACATCTGCAGAACGTGAAGAACCGGTGGCATCTACATCAGCAGAACGTGAAGAACCAGTGGCATCTACATCTGCAGAACGTGAAGAACCAGTGGCATCTACATCTACAGAACGTGAAGAACCAGTGGCATCTAGATCTGCAGAACGTGAAGAACCAGTGACATCTACGTCTACAAGAGATTATAGAACTTTTAAAGCCATTCCCTGTGTTCAGTGTACATGTCGTACGTGTTTGGAATCGACAGGAGTAAAGTTGGGGCTTATGAACAAATCGATTTCTGACACACAGCTCTAGAACCTAACTCGTTCGTAACTAGAGGACTCCCGTATTACGAGCAGGAACCCGCGGAACTTCGGTTGTAAAAGGATGGCGAATGCGTACTTTATAGCATCACTCCCCCCTCTCCCGCACCCCAATGTCACGTGACGCAACCCGCCCCCCTCCCACGTGCGTGCGTTGAGTCTATGGGCAGTGTTGAGTCTATGGTGCAGTGTTGAGTCTATGGGCAGTGTTAAGTCTATGGTGCAGTGTTGAGTCGATGGGCAGTGTTGAGTCTATGGGCAGTGTTGAGTCTATGGGCAGTGTTGTGTCTATGGCGCAGTGTTGAGTCTATGGGCAGTGTTGAGTCTATGGGCAGTGTTGAGTCTATGGTGCAGTGTTGAGTATATTGGCAGTGTTGAGTCTATGGTGCAGTGTTGAGTCTATGGGCAGTGTTGAGTCTATGGGCAGTGTTGAGTCTATGGGCAGTGTTGAGTCCAGTGTTGAGTCTATGGGCAGTGCTGAGTCTACAGTGAGGGAAAAAAGTATTTGATCCCCTGCTGATTTTGTACGTTTGCCCACTGACAAAGAAATGATCGGTCTATAATTTTAATGGTAGGTTTATTTGAACAGTGAGAGACAGAATAACAACAAAATCCAGAAAAACGCATGTCAAAAATGTTATAAATTGATTTGTATTTTAATGAGGGAAATAAGTATTTGACCCCCTCTCAATCAGAAAGATTTCTGGCTCCCAGGTGTCTTTTATACAGGTAACGAGCTGAGATTAGGAGCACACTCTTAAAAAAAAGTGCTCCTAATCTCACCTTGTTACCTGTATAAAAGACACCTGTCCACAGAAGCAATCAATCAATGAGATTCCAAACTCTCCACCATGGCCAAGACCAAAGAGCTCTCCAAGGATGTCAGGGACAAGATTGTAGACCTACACAAGGCTGGAATGGGCTACAAGACCATTGCCAAGCAGCTTGGTGAGAAGGTGACAACAGTTGGTGCGATTATTCGCAAATAGAAGAAACACAAAACTGTCAATCTCCCTCGCCCTGGGGCTCCATGCAAGATCTCACCTCGTGGAGTTGCAATGATCATGAGAACGGTGAGGAATCAGCCCAGAACTACACGGGAGGATCTTGTTAATGATTTCAAGGCAGCTTGGGACCATAGTCACCAAGAAAATAATTGGTAACACACGCCGTGAAGGACTGAAATCCTGCAGCGCCCGCAAGTACCCCCTGCTCAAGAAAGCACATATACATGCCCGTCTGAAGTTTGCCAATGAACATCTGAATGATTCAGAGACAACTGGGTGAAAGTGTTGTGGTCAGATGAGACCAAAATGGAGCTCTTTGGCATCAACTCAACTGGCCGTGTTTGGGGGTGGAGGAATGCTTCCTATGACCCCAAGAACACCATCCCCACCGTCAAACATGGAGGTGGATACATTATTCTTTGGGGGGGTGTTTCTGCTAAGGGGACAGGACAACTTCACCGCATCAAAGGGACGATGGACGGGGCCATGTACCGTCAAATATTGGGTGAGAACCTCCTTCCCTCAGCCGGGGCATTAAAAATGGGTCGTGGATGGGTATTCCAGCATAATGACCCAAAACACACGGCCAAGGCAACAAAGGATTGCCTCAAGAAGAAGCACATTAAGGTCCTGGAGTGGCCTAGTCAGTCTCCAGACCTGAAGGTTCGAGTTGCCAAACGTCAGCCTCGAAACCTTAATGACCTGGAGAAGATCTGCAAAGAGGAGTGGGACAAAATCCCTCCTGAGATGTGTGCAAACCTGGTGGCAAACTACAAGAAACGTCTGACCTCTGTGATTGCCAACAAGGGTTTTTCCACCAAGTACTAAGTCATGTTTTGCAGAGGGGTCAAATACTTATTTCCCTCATTAAAATGCAAATCAATTTATAACATTTTTTACATGCGTTTTTCTGGATTTTTTTGTTGTTATTCTGTCTCTCACTGCTCAAATAAACCTACCATTAAAATTATAAATTGATCATTTCTTTGTCAGTGGGCAAACGTACAAAATCAGCAGGGGATCAAATACTTTTTCCCTCACTGTATGGGCAGTGTTGAGTCTATGGGCAATGTTGAGTCTGTGGGCAGTGTTGAGTCTATGGGCAGTGCTGAGTCTATGGTGCAGTGTTGAGTCTATGGTGCAGTGTTGAGTCTATGGACAGTGTTGAGTCTATGGGTAGTGTTGAGTCTATGGTGCAGTGTTGAGTCTATGGGTAGTGTTGAGTCTATGGGCAGTGTTGAGTCTATGGGGAGTGTTGAGTCTATGGGCAGTGTTGAGTCTATGGGCAGTGTAGAGTCTATGGGCAGTGTTGAGTCTATGGGCAGTGTTGAGTCTATAGTGCAGTGTTGAGTCTATGGGCAGTGTTGAGTCTATGGGCAGTGTTGAGTCTACGGGTAGTGTTGAGTCTATGGGCAGTGTTGAGTCTATGGGCAGTGTGTGTGTTGAACTTCTTTCGCACCGTACGTAGCCACCCGCGCTAATCGGAGGTGCGACGGGGGGGGGGGGGTAAGGACAACAAACTAAAGACAACCGCTCCCGCGCATTTCGTGACGTCATCACTCCCACCGTTGTTGTCATGGAGACGCCGATGGAAACACAAATTTTGATTTTGTGGTTGATTATTTTAATCACGTTCCAGTCGGGGCACCCCACACGCGGGCGCGCGAGCACGGCAGGAAAGAGGAGGAGGAGGTGACGGGCGGGCGGCACGGGAACGTGCGTCTGCGCGTGGCTACTAACGTCCGTTACAAAAATAAAGTTCGTCGGGATACGGGGCGAGAGGCGCCGATGCTCGCTCGCGTCCAGACCACCTCCTCCTCCTCCCTCCTCCTCCCTCCTCCTCCCTCGTCGTCGTCGTCGCCCTGCGTGCGTGCGTGGTGCGTGTGTGGTGCGTGTGTGGTGCGTGTGCGTGTGTGCGTGGTGCGTGTGCGTGCGTGGTGCGTGTGTGTGCATGTGTGGTGCATGTGTGGTGCGTGTGTGTGTGTGTGCGTGGTGCATGTGTGGTGCATGTGTGCGTGCGTGGTGCATGTGTGTGTGTGTGCATGCGTGGTGCATGTGTGGTGCGCGTGTGTGTGTGTGCGTGTGTGTGTGTGTGTGCGTGTGTGTGTGCGCGTGTGCGGTCACATCGACAGCACCAACCGCCGAGGTCGTGACCTCGGCGGTTGTCTTCGGGATTGGCCGTCGCGGCGGTGGCGCGGCGGTGGTGCGGCGTGGGTCAAGGAAGTAGTGGGGGGGGGGCCGCTTTGGCAGGAGCACCCCAGCGATGATGAGGGGGGTGGTGGTGGTGGTGGTGGTGGAGGTGGAGGGGACACATCTCAGACGGGGATGCGCATGGAGCCGTGTCCCAGCAGCTTCTGCAGGAGCCGGTCGACGAGCCAGGAGCAGGCGAAATCGGCCACGAGAACTTGGAAGATGGTCCACTTGAACTACGGGGTCCCGTCACGGTGGGGGCGGGAGCGGGAGGACAACACAAAGTTCGCGATTTAAAAAAAAGGTATCGGTCGTGAGGATAGGCTTTACCACTCGCTCCGCGTTAAGACGCTCCGACACCAAACGGAAACCTTTGGCAAGGCATCGCGTCCGCACGAGCCGCACGAGCGGCACTTGTGGTGAACGTGCACACAAGAAACGTGCTCGGATGATACAGAGCACCACAAGCGATCGCGCGGGTGACCGAGTGAGCTCTCGAGTGAGCCATCGTGCGAACTATCGCTCGATCAATCGTGCGAGCGATCGAGCGTACAAGTTCTCGTGCGGGTGATCGAGCGTGCGGGTGATCGTGCGAACTATCGCTCGATCAATCGTGCGAGCGATCGTGCGAGTGATCGTGCGAGCGAGTGATCGTGCGAGCGAGCGCGCGTGCGAGCGATCGTGCGTGCAAGTTCTCGTGCATGCAAGTTCTCGTGCGAGCGATTGAGCGATCGTGCGAGTGATCGAGCGTGCGAGTGATTGTGCGTGCAAGTTCTCGTGCGAGTGATCGTGCGAGCGATCGATCGTGCGTGCAAGTGATCGTGCGAGCGATTGAGCGATCGTGCGAGTGATCGTGCGTGCAAGTTCTCGTGCGAGTGATCGTGCGAGTGATCGTGCGAGTGATCGAGCGTGCGAGTGATTGTGCGTGCAAGTTCTCGTGCGAGTGATCGTGCGAGCGATCGATCGTGCGTGCAAGTGATCGTGCGAGCGATTGAGCGATCGTGCGAGTGATCGTGCGTGCAAGTTCTCGTGCGAGTGATCGTGCGAGTGATCGTGCGATTGAGCGATCGTGCGAGTGATCGAGCGTGCGAGTGATTGTGCGTGCAAGTTCTCGTGCGAGTGATCGTGCGAGTGATCGTGCGAGTGATCGATCGTGCGAGCGATCGCTCGCTCACTCGAGCGTGCGCGTGACGCCGTGAGCCCAGCGGCCACCTCCAGCACGGCGAACCTCGTAGGGGAATTCGACGATCTCAAAGTGCGCCGATAGGTCAGGCAACACGCCGGTCACGAGGCAAGCGACAGCCACTCCCGTGAGGATGATGCTCCACAGCAGCGGCCTGTTCTCCTGTAGGCTCTCCATGAACGGGTGGCCCTGCGTTGACACGACGACAACAACAACAACAACAAACAAAAGACAAAGATTCCCCATCCGCTCGTGTAGCCTTCACAGACTGTCGGGGCAAGTGCTGTTAGAGGGGGCGCCAGGGTGGCTATGAGATGTTGACTACCTCGCCTGGTGTACAGGAGGTCGTGGGTTCGATCCCGACCCTGACACCTGCTGCTGTTTATTTTGGAGTTTGCGGTGTCTCTCTCTCTCATCATCATCATCACGGTGGCTAGGAGATGTTAACTACCTCGCCTGGTGTACAGGAGGTCGTGGCTTCGATCCAGACCCTGACGCCTGCCGCTGTATATTTAGAGTTTGCGTGTCTCTCTTATCATCACGGTGGCTAGGAGATGTTAACTACCTCGCCTGGTGTGCAGGAGGTCGTGGCTTCGATCCCGATCCCGACCCCGACGCCTGCTGCTGCTGCTGTATATTTGTCGTTTGAGTCTCCCTCTCTCTCTCTCTCTCTCTCCCCGTGGCCGCGTGGATTTTTCTCCGGGCGCTCCGTTTTTTTTTTTCACGCGCGATACAATATCTGGCGACTGCGATAACATTTACCACGTGACGGCGACGACGACGATGACGACGATGACGACGAGCTGCCACGTCGATATCCACTCGTGACAGCTGGGTCGCTCCTCAAAAAAAGCTACGCGGCTCAGTGGGCCTCTTCATCATTTAGATTAAAAATTTTAGTTTAGAGCAGCGGCGGGCGGGGGAGGCGGGCAACTACGAGCGGCCGCGACCTGGCCGTCCCTCCGCGTCCCTAAGGCCGCGTTGCGCGGGGTGTCAAAGTGCGGGCGCTGCCACTCCCTCCGCGGGGAGTACACACCGTGCGAGCGGGAACACCCCCAGCCCCACCCCGCTCCCACCACGACCTGCGGTCGATCCGAGCAGGAAAAACGCTTTCCGCTTTGATATCCGGCAGTGGTCGGAGACTGAGTCCCCCCGATCAGAAATGTCAAAAGTTCAACTGCTCAGCTGGGAGTTCGACCGAGTCCATTCTCACCGTCGTCCTCAGCGACATCACGATTAGTAAAAAAAAATAAAAAAAAATTTTAGTTAACCCGGGGGAAAGCCTCAAGACTTCCTTTGCAAGAGGGTCCTGCCAACTTTTCGCAAGCAGATGCTGCTGCTTGCTGCTGCGCGATCCCAAATGAGCACCCCCGCTGGGAATATTTTCAGGAACCGTATCGGAATCCTCATCGGCCCCGGGGAGACGACAAACAGGCACGAAGCTCTTCCCTGGTTCCACGGATGTGACCGATGCCACCGGGTTGCATCGCTCGTGAAAGATGGCGGGGGGGGGGGGGGGGGAAACCCGCTCGGAACAGGGGACGGAGAGAACGTACGCACGCTACACGAGTTCCCGGTCGGCAATCAAAACCCGGGATCTTTCTGCTGCCCGGCTGCCCGGCCTGCCCGGCCTGCCTGCCTGCCCGCCTCAACGTGTCGGTGGCAACGTGTCGGTCGTCGGGGCGAGGCAAAACCACGCGGATCGTCTCCCGAGACTCCCCACGGCACCACAACGCACTAACTCCTCAAGACTGGGCAACGCGGAATGTCGGCGTAGGTTGGACGGGAGACAGCCGGCGAAGGAAGGGTGGACGGACGGACACGGACGGATCGGTGCCGTCGGGGTAACCGCTACACTCTCGCCCTCTCACTCTCACTCTCTCTCTAACCACTACACTACCTCTCTCTAACCACTACACTACCGCTCTCTAACCACTACACTACCGCTCTCTCACTCTCACTCTCTCTCTAACCACTACACTACCGCTCTCTCACTCTCACTCTCTCTCTAACCACTACACTATCACTCTCTCTCACTCTCTAACCACTACACTACCGCTCTCTCTCTCTCTCTCTAACCACTACACTATCACTCTCTCTCTCTCTCTCTAACCACTACACTATCACTCTCTCTCTCTCTCTAACCACTACACTATCACTCTCTCTCTCTCTCTAACCACTACACTACCTCTCTCTCTCTCTCTCTCTAACCACTACACTATCACTCTCTCTCTCTCTCTCTAACCACTACACTATCACTCTCTCTCTCTCTCTAACCACTACACTACCTCTCTCTCTCTCTAACCACTACACTACCGCTCTCTCGCTCTCTCACACTCACTCTCTCACTCTCTCTCTCTAACCACTACACTACCGCTCTCTCTCTCTCTAACCACTACACTACCTCTCTCTCTCTCTCTAACCACTACACTCTCGCTCTCTCACTCTCACTCTCTCTCTCTAACCACTACACTACCTCTCTCTCTAACCACTACACTACCTCTCTCTCTCTCTCTAACCACTACACTACCGCTCTCTCTAACCACTACACTACCGCTCTCTCTCTAACCACTACACTACCGCTCTCTCTCTCTCACTCTCTCTCTCTAACCACTACACTACCGCTCTCTAACCACTACACTACCGCTCTCTCACTCACTCTCTCTCTCTAACCACTACACTACCGCTCTCTCACTCTCACTCTCTCTCTCTAACCACTACACTACCTCTCTCTCTCTCACTCTCTCTCTCTAACCACTACACTACCGCTCTCTAACCACTACACTACCGCTCTCTCACTCACTCTCTCTCTCTAACCACTACACTACCGCTCTCTCACTCTCACTCTCTCTCTCTAACCACTACACTACCTCTCTCTCTCTCACTCTCTCTCTCTAACCACTACACTACCGCTCTCTCACTCTCTCTAACCACTACACTACCGCTCTCTCTCTCTCTAACCACTACACTACCGCTCTCTCTAACCACTACACTACCGCTCTCTCTCTCTCTAACCACTACACTACCTCTCTCTCTAACCACTACACTACCGCTCTCTCACTCTCTCTAACCACTACACTACCGCTCTCTCTCTCTCTAACCACTACACTACCGCTCTCTCTCTCTCTCTAACCACTACACTACCGCTCTCTCTCTCACTCTCACTCTCTCTAACCACTACACTACCGCTCTCTCTCTCTCTAACCACTACACTACCGCTCTCTAACCACTACACTACCGCTCTCTCTCTCTAACCACTACACTACCGCTCTCTCTCTCTCTAACCACTACACTACCGCTCTCTCTCTCTCTCACTCTCTCTCTCTAACCACTACACTACCGCTCTCTCTCTCTCTCTCTAACCACTACACTACCGCTCTCTCTAACCACTACACTACCGCTCTCTCTCTCTCTAACCACTACACTACCGCTCTCTCTCTCTCTCGCTCTAACCACTACACTACCGCTCTCTCTCTCTAACCACTACACTACCGCTCTCTCTCTCTCTCTCTAACCACTACACTATCACTCTCTCTCTCTCTAACCACTACACTACCGCTCTCTCTCTAACCACTACACTACCGCTCTCTCTCTCTCTCTCTCTAACCACTACACTACCTCTCTCTCTCTCTAACCACTACACTACCGCTCTCTCTCTCTCTCGCTCTAACCACTACACTACCGCTCTCTCTCTCTAACCACTACACTACCGCTCTCTCTCTCTCTCTCTAACCACTACACTACCGCTCTCTCTCTAACCACTACACTATCTCTCTCTCTCTAACCACTACACTACCGCTCTCTCTCTCTCTCTCACCCTCTCTCTCTAACCACTACACTACCGCTCTCTCCCTCTCTCTCTAACCACAACACTACCGCTCTCTCTCTCTCACTCTCTCTCTCTAACCACTACACTACTGCTCTCTCTCCCTCTCTCTCTCTCACTCTCTCTCTAACCACTATCGCTCTCTCTCTCTCGCTCTCTAACCACTACCGCGCTCTCTCTCTCCCTCTCTCTCACTCTCTCTCTAACCACTATCGCTCTCTCTCTCTCTAACCACTACACCACCGCTCTCGCTCTCTCGCTCACCCCCCCTCCCTTCCCCTCACCTTGTAGTTGATGGCAAACGTGGCCATCTGCATCGCCATAGACATGATGTAGACAGTGCTGTTCACCAGGTTCGGCTCAAACTCCTTGTAGAGGTCCACAAATGCTCCTGACCTTCAAGACAAAGACAAAGGTCCCCACCCGTACAGCCTCATTACTACTGCTACGATGGAACTCAACGTTACATTTGACCAGGTAAGGCCCCAACTGAACTTTGTGTAGCCCCTTTTTTCAGCAGCGACCTGGCCGCCACAAATGACAGCTGTCATCATTGCCATCGTCATCGTCATTATCGTCATTATCATCGTCATCATCATTGTCGTAGTCATCGTCATCGTCATCATCATCGTTGTTATTGTCATCATCGTCATCATGGTCGTCATCGTCGTCATCATGGTCGTCATCATCATCATCGTCATCATCGTCATCATCGTCGTCATCATCACCACGTGAACATTTACAGCAGCCAAAATACTAAAAAAAACACGTCGTGACGTTTGACTCTAAAGTGTGGAGGGCCTGGAGAGAGACACCGCAAATATACAGGCGGTGCAGACTCCAAATATACAGGCGGTGCGGACTCCAAATATACAGGTGGTGCAAACTCCCAAATATACAGGCGGGGCAAACTCCCAAATATACAGGCGGTGCAAACTCCAAATATACAGGCGGTGCAGACTCCCAATATACAGGCGGTGCAGACTCCAAATATACAGGCGGTGCAAACTCCCAAATATACAGGCGGGGCAAACTCCCAAATATACAGGCGGTGTAAACTCCAAATATACAGGCGGTGCAGACTCCCAATATACAGGCGGTGTAGACTCCCAAATATACAGGCGGTGCAAACTCCCAAATATACAGGCGGTGCAACTACCAATATACAGGCGGTGCAGACTCCAAATATACAGGCGGTGCAGACTCCAAATATACAGGCGGTGCAGACTCCAAATATACAGGCGGTGCAAACTCCCAATATACAGGCGGTGTAGACTCCCAAATATACAGGCGGTGCAAACTCCAAATATACAGGCGGTGCAAACTCCCAATATACAGGCGGTGTAGACTCCCAAATATACAGGCAGTGCAGACTCCAAATATACAGGCGGTGCAAACTCCCAATATACAGGCGGTGTAGACTCCCAAATATACAGGCGGTGCAAACTCCAAATATATAGGCGGGGCAAACTCCCAAATATACAGGCAGTGCAAACTCCAAATATACAGGCGGGGCAAACTCCCAAATATACAGGCAGTGCAAACTCCCAAATATACAGGCGGTGCAAACTCCAAATATACAGGCAGTGTAGACTCAACATATACAGGCAGTGCAAACTCCCAATATACAGGCGGTGAAAACTCCAAATATACAGGCGGTGTAGACTCCAAATATACAGCAGCAGCAGGCGTCAGGGTCAGGATCAAACACACAACCTCCTGTACACCAGGCGAGGTAGTTAACATCTCCTAGCCACCGCACAACCTTTTGAACAGACTGTCGGGGCAAGTGCTGTTAGCGAGTAGCGGCACCTATGGAAGGCGGCACAGCACCACGCCCGACCGCCTTTGTCTCCCCCCGGTGGCGATGTTTTACACACCGCACCGGGTACTCACTTGAGGCCGAGACCGACGCAGGGGAGGCCCAGGACCGGTTCAGAAAATCGCCACCGATGGTGGAAACTCGGGTGGCGCAGCGCGCCAACCACTACGCTACCGCTCCCCACAAGACTGACGGACAGACAGGCGGACGCACAGGGGCGGCACCTGCCGAAGGGGAGCCGCAGATTCGCCGCGGCCGTAAGCGAGCCCAGGCGGAGGGGACCGAGCCGTCGACTCTCCACCGCTGCCACCACCACCACCACCACCGCCGCGTCACAGCGAGCGAGCGAGCGAGAGTGAGGTGAGAGAGAGAGAGAGAGAGGGAGGGAGAGACGTACCTGGGAGGGATGAGCGTGCCCGCCTGCCGGTAGAGGAAGACGAGGCTGCAGAAGTGCACCGCGAACTGGGCTAGAACCGTGGCCACCGTGTACACGTTGAAGATGTTGGGCAGAGGCCGCTCGCCCGACAGCGTCTTCAACGGCTGGATGCAAAACGTGGGAGGGGTGGGTGGGGGGTGGGGGGTGGGGGTGAAATGCGTCGCGGTCAAACGGGGGTCCAGCGAGGGGGTTGGAAAGTGGTGAATGGGAAAAAAAAAAACAATAATACATGATAATAGACCTTCATGGTTTGGACGTTTTTAATAATAAACAAAGTGTGAATTCAAGGACAGTGCCAATATTATTATCAGAGTTGTCTTTTTTTGTTTGCATTTTGACTGCTTGGTGTTGCGGTTATTGCAGACACGATGCCTTGAATAACGGTGTCAGTTTTTTTGTGCCAGTTAAAAGGGTAAAACCTATTGCTATAATGTGCGAATGTGTGTGTCTGTTCGAAATGTTTAGCATACTTCCCAATATGCAACAAACTTGAAATTTGGCATGTGGGTAGCTTCCGGACTGTACACAATGCAAAAAGTATAAAAATAGACTTTTGTATTTTTTTTTTGGGGGGGGGGGGGGGGGGTGGGTGGCACAATAATGGAGATATTTTGCACGGAAAGTGAGCGGTGACGTCGCATCTGTGATGTCACCCGCGTGCGGCAACGTCACGCAGGGTGCCTGCTGACGTCACGCACCCCCCCCCCCCCCCCCCCCACCCAACCCTCCGCGTCGGCCGTGTATTAATCCGAGACAAGAATCCAAGTCTCGGGCGAAGCCGGGTAGAGTAAAGCTCATTTTATAATTTTTTTAAAAAAAAATCATTAAAAAAGCATCGTGGCCAAGCAGACAGATGGACACGTGGACAGACGGACAGACAGGCAGACGGGCGGATAGATGGGCAGCCAATCGGACGTACAAAATGTGGACAGGCGGGAAAGACAAGCACACGGACAAAATGGGCAGACAGGCGGACGGACGTTTCCAAGAGACGGGGGGGGCGGAGCGTGGACGGGGAATCACCTTGGAGCGCGAGATGAAGAGGAAGCACCCGGCCAGGAGGAGGCCCTGCAGGGTGGCCTGCGAGTCGCTGAACTTCACTCCCTCGAGGTAGAGGACGCTCTGCCCGTAGGCGAGGATCAGCGCGTTCAGCGCCAGGATCTTGAACATCTGCAGCGTCGTGACGAGCGTACAGCGGCCCTGCTTGATCACGTGGCAGACTTCACGCGCGCAAGGGGCGGGCAGACAAGCGGACGGACAGATGGACGGGTGACGTACGAACGTGCAGATGTACAGACGAAGGCAGACGAAGGCAGACGGAGCGGGTGGACGGGCGGACGGTCGGACAGACGGGGCAGACAATGAGACAATGCAGACGGACAGGCGGACAGTTTGGACAGACAGACGGGGCAGACGAGACAAATGGACGGGCGGATGGATGATGTACAAGACGGGCAGATGTACAGACAGGGCAGACAAGACAGAGAGACAGAGAGAGACAGAAAGACAGAGAGACAGTACAGAGAAACAGAGAGATACAGAGAGAGACACAGAGACAGAGAAACAGAGAGAGAGACAGAGAAAGAGAGACAGAGATATACAGAGAGAGACAGAGAGAAACAGAGAGAGAGAGACAGAGATACTGAGAGAGACAGACAGAGAGAGAGAAGGACAGAGGGAGAGAGACAGAGAGAGATACTGAGAGAGACAGAGACACAGAGAGAGAGACAGAGAGAGAGAGAGACAGAGAGAGGCAGAGAGCGAGAGAGACACAGAGACAGAGAGAGAGACACAGAGAGAGACAGAGAGAGACACACAGAGAGAGAGAGAGAGACAGAGACACAGAGAGAGAGAGAGACAGAGAAACGGACAGAGAGGCAGAGAGAGACACAGACACAGAGACACAGAGATAGAGACAGACTTTGACTTTTGACTTTTAAACAACTTTTATTAGAGGGAGACAGAGAGACACAGAGAGAGAGAGACAGAGAGGCAGACAGAGACACAGAGAGAGCGACAGAGACACAGAGAGACACAGACAGAGACACAGAGATAGACAGAGACACAGAGAGAAACAGAGACACAGAGAGAGAGACACAGAGAGAGACACAGACAGAGACACAGAGAGAGACAGAGACACAGAGAGACACAGAGAGAGACACACAGAGATAGAGACACAGACAGAGACACAAAGAGAGACAGAGAGACAGACAGAGAGAGAGAGAGACACAGAGAGAGAGAGACACAGACAGAGACACAGACAGAGACACAGATAGAGACACAGAGAGAGACGCAGACAGAGACACAGAGAGAGAGACACACAGAGACAGACACAGAGAGAGAGACACAGACAGAGACACAGACAGAGACACAGACAGAGACACAGAGAGAGAGAGACACAGAGACAGACAGAGAGAGACAGAGACACAGAGAGAGATACACAGAGACACAGAGAGAGACACACAGAGAGAGACACACAGACAGAGACACAGAGAGAAGGACACAGAGAGAGAGACACAGAGAGAGACAGAGACACAGAGAGACACAGAGAGAGACACAGAGAGAGAGA